TGGTTGGATTCTTAAGTATTGTAATGGGGTGGGAACTTGTGGAGGAACCAAGAAAGACCAAGATTTGCTCAAGGAGAATGTGAGGTGTCATTGATGGAAGCACAAGACCAAACTGGAGACAGCATTTCAAGAAGGGTCATTGTCATACCACCCTTGGAAAACATGACCCAAAAATCAGATATGTAAACCAGTCATTGGCGGCTGTGGAAAAAGAATATTCTCTGTGTTGCACAGAGAAACAAAGTGAAAGTAACCTGGCAAGGTTTCTATTTGCAAAATGGATGCACCAACCAAACACTGGGCTAGCAAGCAGCATGCATGGCCAAGAAGACCTCTGTCTTTTATCCCTAATGCAAGGGTGAGCTTAGCTGTTTCTCATTGGTTGATGTTCAACTCCATAGTCTATTCCTGATTGGCTAATTTTGAAAACAGCAGGAAGGATGAGTGAGGGGCCAGCCTCTCTGGGAATGCAACAGTATCTTTGTGTAAACAAAAGTTTTTCAAGGTGGGGGAAGAATAAAATATTTGCATAAAAGACTTACATTGTGGAGGAGAATGATGGAATATTGGCTCCTGGTGAGCTAATGACCTTTGATAGGAAAAAAAAAAGTTTCAGGATAGGCATGGTAGCATATAACTTTAACGGCAGCACTAGGCAGTCAGAGGCTATTGGGTCTCTATGATGAATGTGTCCAGCCTGGCCTGTAGAGAGAGTTCCAAGCAGCCACAGTTACATAGTTAGATCCTATCTCAACAAACTAACAAGTCAGATGTGGAATGGTCCTCTCTGTGTGGTGGCAGGCAAATCAAATCCCTCAGAAGGCAGGTTCCTAAAACCAGTCAACTCCACTTTAAAATCCACAGCAGTCTTGTGTGTTCTGTCTAAGATAGAAAAGCAGTCACTAAGCAGCAGCTAGCCTGGCATAGGGGCACATGCCTTTAATCCCAGCACTTGGGAGGCAGAGGCAGACAGATGTCTGTGAGTCCAAGTCCAGCCTGGTCTACATAGTGAGTTCCAGGACAGCCAGAACTACATAGTGAGACACCGTCTTGAAAAAACCAAAACCAAAACCAAACAACTACAACAAAAGCAGCAGCTAAGTGTTGGGATTGTGGGACAGTGTGCCTGTGCCCGGTGGTGGCTCAGCAAACACGGTCCCATTCTGTTCTAGTGTTTCTACTTCATCAGGGCCGTGATCTCCAGCACTGGAGGCTGGGGAAGGCAAGGCCCTGCATAGATTTTATTTCTAACACACTGATGAAACTTTTCAGGTATGGAATCCAAGTGGGATGCTGAGGCACATTGTCTTTTGGGGTAAGAGATTTATTAGAGGGGTTATTAACCAATAGAAGCATATTGGAGGCTCTGAGAAGAGTTAGTGGGGTCCCTTCTTAAAGGGTTTCAGAAGACAGGGAACAGTTCTGAGCCATGCGATTGATAAGGAAGACAGTAGGATGCACTTGTAGCCAGGCTGTCTTTGATTTATGGGGGTCTGTTTGCCTGGGACCTGAATGTAGAATCTGCTATGAGGATGGAGAGGAATCAAAAACGATTTACTTTAGTTCTAGAAACCAAATTAGTCTCTGCGGTTGTCATTGTTTAACCAAAGTGTAGGAGCTTTACAAAACAAAATGACTGTGGCTATCAAGCCCAGACTCCCATGGATGTTCATCGGGCTAGGACTACTTTGTGTATTTCCTTTTTCTTTCCCTTTGGTTGAGTCAGATATTCTTCTGTGGTAGCAAAGGCACCGTGGAGAAAAACCAATTTAAAAAAAAAATGAGGGTGACTCCTGGTGCCAGAAGAAGACTATAGGAAGTTAAATGCTTTCGTCTTCCTTACATTCCCCATCATTCCTACCAGCCATGGGCACTGGGGCACATGGAACAAGAACACAAGAAAGAAAGGATTTACATGTGTACTGCATGTCTGTACTGGTCAGTTTGACACTTGACACAAGTTAGAGTCAACAGAAAGGAAGAAACCACAGTTGAGGAATCGCCTCCAGGAGATCCAGCTGTAAGGCATTTTCTCAATTAGTGATCAACAGGGCAAGGCCCAGTCCATGGTTCTATCATTGGGCTGCTGGTCCTGGGTTCTATGAGAAACCAGACTGAGCAAGCCATGAGAAGTGAGCCAGTAAGTAGCACCCTCCATGGTCTCTGCATCAGCTCCTGTCTCCAGGTTCCTGCTCTGTTTGAGTACCTGTCCTGACTTCCTTTAGTGATGGACAGCAATTTGGAAGTGCAAACCAAATAAACCCTTTGCTCCCCAACTTACTTATTGGTCATGGTGTTTCATTGCAGCAATAGAAACCCTAACTAAGACAAACTTAGACAGTGTCCCATTCTTTCTCCCAAGGTAAAGAGCTTGGTTAAAGAGGAAAAGATAGAAAGCCTTTCTCTCCTGCCAGGAGCAATGGAAGGAATTGAAGGAATTACAGACCTGATATATATATATATACACACACACACATATGTATATCAGGTCTGTAATCTAATATATATGTATATACATACACATATATATCAGGTCTGTAATCATATATATATATGTATATATATATATATATATACACATATATATATGACAGAACGATATACTCTAGAGATTGGATCTCATCCCAGAATCTCAGCTAAAGGGCAGCAGCTGGAGCTTGATCGAAGTGAATGATCGCGCTAAGTTTCCGTGTGCCGCAGTTGGATGCAGGTGGCACCTGGCTCTAAGCCCCTGCCTTAGCAGCATGTGGAGTCCTCAGCAACTTCTACCCAGGTGAGTCTGAGATTCTTGATGTCAGGTCCAGAAGAAACTTGGAATAGTGGGCTATCTGAGGTGTTTATCAGTGCACAAAAGCACTTGCTGGCCTCCAGGCTCTCTCGGTATTAGCAGAATCTGCGGCTCTTTTCACCTTGCCCCCTACCCTAAACTGCTCTAATTCATGGGCTTCCCTACCTACCCCCTCCCCCAGCTTCTCCTTGTCCTTATAACCCTGGTGTTTCAGCTATGCTCTGTTTCATCTTCCTCTCTCTGGGTCTCCTTGGCCCACACCCTCCTTGTCTGTCTTCCTCTCGTGCTCTCCACCTCTCTCCCTCCTTTCGTGGCCTGTCCAGTCTTCTGGCCATGTTCAGTTTCTCTCCCAGCTCTGGATTCTTCCAGATGCCTCTGGCTGTACTCTCTCTCCCTCATATCTACAATAAAAACCTTCCCCTCAACTACACCTTGGAGAAATCACATCCTCAGTTTATATGTCAAGTGCCAAAGCCCTCAGTTTATACACTTGACTGGCAAGAAAAAAAAAAAAAAGGATTTCTGAATGAATCTTTATGAAGAAGGACCCTGGGTTTTTTTTTTTTTTTTTTTTTTTTTTTTTTTTTTTTTTGATTTTTTGAGACAGGGTTTTTCTGTGTAGCTTTGCGCCTTTCCTGGGACTCACTTGGTAGCCCAGGCTGGCCTTGAACTCATGGAGATCCGCCTGCCTCTGCCTCCCAAGTGCTGGGATTAAAGGCATGCGCCACCACCGCCCGGCGGAGTTTCTTTTTGTTGTTGTTTTTTGAGATACAGTCTCACTAAGTAGCTCTGGCTGTCCTGGAACTCACTGTGTAGACCAGGTTGGCCTCAAACTCACAGAGCTTCATCTGCCTCCCAAGTGGGATTAATGGAATACAACACCTAGGACAGGTGTTTCTTAAGGAGTGCTTTCTTCAACTCCCCGTGTTTGTTCTAAATAGATTTAAGCACTAGGGTTATTAGAAAGAGAAAAGAATAACACAAATCCAAGACAGAGTGCAGACTTCTCAAGGGAGAATACTACACTTACTTGTCTTTACGATAGCCATAGACATACATATGTGTATTCTTCAGTTATATCTTCAAAGGGAAACCCACAGCCATCTGTAACTTCAGCTCTAGGGGATCCAGTGTCCTCTTCTGGCCTCTGTAAACATCAGCACACATGTATACACATGCACACACACACACACACACACACACACACACACACACACACACACACACACCACCATCACCACCACCACCACCAATGGTAATAATAATATTAAATCTTTTACAAGAGAGGTTGCAGGCTGGATTCTGAGGCACATTGGATAAGACTGGATCTGACAAATCCTTAAAACACAGGAGTTACATGAGAAAGACAGATTATTTTTACTACAACTAGAAGTTGATAGTCTTGCTTGTGAGAGCCCCATAAAATACCTAGGACAGGGATATATGGAATATACGAGACAGGCCATACTCAAGGTCATATATATTTACAACTAAAGCACGATTCATTGCTCTTTTAGCATTCTTATCTCAAAATATCTCTATATAAAAAGAATATTGTCCTTATGGTCTGGAGAGATGGCTCAGGGGTCAAGAGCACTTGATGTGGTGGCTTGAAATTGATAGAGGATCCGTTGGGACAGCCCGTCTCCTTAGGCAGGCAACAACCATTTCTGCCACTATAAGGGTTGCAGACATCTTTTTTGTCTTTTTTTCCTAGCAGATCCTTCAACTTCCCGGGAGGGAGTCTGCCCCCTTGCCGTGTACACCAACAGTCCCATCTGCAGACAGGGCCTCTCTTCTGCTGCCTTGGAAATTAAAAAACATTTGTAACTTCAGCTCCAGGAGTTCTGACACACTCTTCTCACCTCCACTGGCACCAGGCACACGTGTGGTACACACACACAGGCAGGCAAAACACTCATACACATAAAATAAATAAATCTTTAAAAAACGGTTTTGACACAAAATACTGTCTTGACATAGACAACCTTCACAACAAATGTTAAGTGTACTGGAATCCTTTTCTTCTTATATTTTATTGTACTGTGTATTTATGTGTATGTGTACCTGCATGCAAGCGCACTTGTCAGAGCACTGGCGTGGAGGTCAGAGGACTTCTTTCAGGAGTCAATTCTCTCCTCCCACAATGTAGGTCGCAGAGAAGGAACTCAGGTTGTCTGGCAGGCTTGGTGGCTTACTCGCTAAGCCACCAGGATCCTGTGCTAGAATTCTTAACGCCCTGGTGAGAGGTTTTAGCCACAGCACCTCTGAGGGGCTCCTTTCCAATTTCCTCTAAATTTTCCCTGTCTTTCTTACTTCATTCCTACTTGGTACATGGAGTTCTTACTTTGGTGGGAGGAAGAATCTAATGATTTTCTGTCTTCCTCTCTGTTTACATTTATTATAACGTGGAGACTTACTGTGGTGGCCATTTTAGAGACGATTGGCTTGTTTGTCTGGTGAACATAGGTTGGGGCATTTTGTTAGGGGCAAAAACTATGAAACAAATCATTAGCCGTGTGTGCTGTGGATTCCTTCCTACAGAATGAAATATAAATGTGTTATAATAATATAGAATACGTGGCCCTATCACTTTAACAAGAAGCAGAGATCTCCCGCTGTTTGGAAGCCAGGACAAAGTTCTGTGAGCGCATGCTTTTCCCTCGGGCGGTCTGGGACCTTTGTGCATAGAATCCCGTGGATTGCTGCACGATGGGAGGAGGATTGTTCCGTACTGCATAAATTGTCCAACCAGAAGATTTGGCCTTAGAAGGGAGACTCTGCAAAACACATTTTTGGTGCCACCTTTTGTACTCACCATATTAGATGTCCGTACACAGCCCCCTCCATGTCTGTGTCACGTCCACCGGCCGCTAGAGTTATAGGAGGATCCGAGGACACCTAGTGGCTGAAAATGGTGACTGCTGCGTGCGTCCTGGGTTTGGGAACGAGGCTGCTGCAAGCCTTAAGCGCTGTGAGGACATAACCTGTGCGAAGCAGCAGTCCGGCTCCGCTGGGTCCCGGTCCCGCGGGGTGGAGCTGGGCCAGCAGGCAGAGCCACTGTCCTGTGCCTCGCTGAGCGCTCAATGCTGCTGCAGGCTCTCTGAGCAGCTGGGCGCCCGTTGCCCGCATCTCTACAGTCTGGGTGGTGGTGGCGGAGGGGGACGAGGAGATTTGCACTCAGTTTGGGGTTCATGCGCCGGAGGTGTGGCGATCCCGGGTCCTGAATTTTTTTATGTGAGACCGGTAGACAGAATGATAAATAAGTTCTCAAGTTTGTCGGTTTCGTTGCCGTATTTTGCTTGCTAGCCAGCAGGTGGCAATCAGAGATGATTTTGTAACAATCTCGTCGCTAATATTTACCGGCAGATCACACATTAATGTTTCACACAACTATATGCAATCGTGCCGGTCACAGAGTGGCTAAGAAAGTGGCAGAGATGAGAGATCCTGTCTTGAAGTCGGAGGCAAGGGCTGAGACTGGAGCAGAGAAAAGGTGCAGAAGTGGACGATGTGTGTGGCGAGAGCAGGCTGTTAGATTTGAAGGGGCCCGAGTGTTCCAAACAGGAGAAGCTCTATGGGACTGAAGTGGCAGGAGTCCTTCCCTGTGGTAAGTTTCCGGGCTCTTGACTGTTGACCAGATCACTCAGTGCCTGCCACACTTTGGCCTTGGGGTGGTCCTTCTTTTATAGTCACGGATAAAGGGATTGCACTTTGTGTGGTTGATAAGCTCACCTGGCTGGCTGGAGTTTCTGATGTGACCTTAAATATTTTCAGATACTTTTGAAAGTTTGTATCTTCTGGTTTGCTGACAGAGGGTGGCTGTTTACTTGTGTAAGCAAGATACAAGGTTCATCGTTCTTGGCACATTTCTGCTAACATGAAGTAAATCAGGTTAAGGCCATTGCTTAATCAAAGCAGCCATTACTTCCAGGCTTGGCACAACAACAAAGCTGGCATTTTCTACAGCATGGAGTAACCCAGAGCAGTCAGCCTGTCCTTCTGTCATATTGGTGGCACCTGCTTTTATTATGAGTGTCACAGATTTGAGGGAAGCTTTCTAAATATTATTGGCCTGTACTTTACCCCCAGTGATTCTTAGAACTAGCAACAATTACCCAAGTTTCCAGTATTGCTAAACTAACTGAACATGGACATCCACATCCATGGGTGACTGAGATCAGCCTCTATCATCATTGTTATTGCCCTTGGGCTGTGATTAGACATTTCACTTCTTTTCAAGACAGAGTCTCACTATGTAGCCCTGGTTGGCCTGGAACTCTGTTTGCTTCTGTTTCACCAAATGCTAGGATTAAAGGTGTGGGCCACAACATCTGGATTTAGACATTGTATTCAAATGCAAAGTCTTGGTAGAGGTGGGTCATGACTGTACTGAAAGGTGTGTTTCAGTAAGAGAACGCCCAAGTGTTTGATCTACAAGATTCCCTAGAGCTATGCTATTGGAGAAACTGAGACACTGACTCTCTCTGTCTCTCTCTCTGTGTCTTCTCTCTGTCTCTGTCTCTGTCTCTCTCTCTCTTCTTAGTTTCATTAATAAAGAATTTAGAAAAGGGCGCAAAGTCAACTCTATTCCAATTTAAGAGAAAACTAACAGACCAGGTGTGGTGGTTTGAGAATGTCCCTTAGAGGCTCACATCCCAGTTGGCAGTGTGGTTTGGGGGACGTTGACGAGACAGGGCCTTGTTGGAGGAAGTACGTCACCGGAAGTGGGCTTTGGCAGTTTAAAGCCTCATGCCATGTCCAGTTTGCTCTCTGTTTTGTGCTGTGGTTCCAGAAGTGAGCTCCGAGCTTCTGTTCCTGCTGCCATGTCCGCCGCTTGCCTCCACGCTTCCCCACTGAGGACTTGCGGAACCATCAGCCCACAGAAATCCCGGCTGTGGTGTTTTATCACAGCAAGAGAAAAGTAAAATAACACAACAGGCGAGATGTAAATCTTGGCAGCTGCTGGAATAGGAAGAGGGAGGAAAAAGCCTCTTACAATGGGGGTTGGTAAGCATCAGCATGGCTAGGGGAGTATTAAGCTACAGAGAATGAATGAGAAGGCCCAGAGCATCAGGGGAAAGCATCCTCAGGCTTTAGTCAGTATTAATAATAATAATAATAATAATAATAATAATAATAATAATAATAATAATAATTAAAAAAAGGTAGAAGAGGGAAAGAAGTTACATTGTCCGATTCAGAAAAATGGCAAGTGGATTAACTCCTGTGTGTGACTGAATGTCATTTCTGTTTCCTGTTCTTTCTACTGTGCCCTCCCTGCCAATATGGACTCTAGTCTTCTGGAACTGTGAGCCAAAGTAAGTGCTGTCCTTTCCTAGCTTGCTTTTATCAGGCTGCTTTATCATAGCATCATGAAAGTAACTAGTACACTGTTCTAGAGCCACATCTGTAGTAAGTAGGACAGTATCGTAAGCTGTCCTTATTGTAAGGTGACTTCTATGCATCAGAGACCAGAAGGAATCCAACCCCCTGAAAATGATGTTACTAGGGCCCTCCATACATTAATCATTAATCAAAAAAGAAAAAGAATCCTCCCGCAGACATGCCCATGGATCAGTCTGATGGAGGCAATTTCTCAGTTGAGGTTCCTCTTCCCAGGTGACTCTAGTTTGTCACACGACATAAACTAACTAGCATAAGATTCAAGTCTTTCATAACAAGGGTTTCAAAACCAGTTTTGTTTTAAAAGTTCAACTTTTTGTTCTGACCTGTAAGGCAACAAAAAGGCAGGATAATACTCTGGCATCTCTGTCCGGAGTTTGTCCTCTGGGAAAACACAGAGACAACCATCCTTCTAAATCTTAGCTCTCTTGAATTTTCAATTTTAGTCAGAGCCTCACAGGACCACTCTCACGTGAAGGCCTGAGAGCTAAGAAATTTTTTGTTTTCACTCTTCTTCTTCTTCTTCTTCTTCTTCTTCTTCTTCTTCTTCTTCTTCTTCTTCTTCTTCTTCTTCTTCCTCCTCTTCCTCCTCCTCCTCCTTTGACAGGCTCTCTCTGTGTAGTCCCAGCTAGCCTGGAACTCACTCTGTAGACCAGGCTGGCCTTGAACAAAAGGATATGTTGTGGGAATTCTGCCATTCTGTCTAATGACCAATAGAATGGAACGTTTTTTGGTTTGTTTTTGTTTTGTTTTGTTTTTTGATGCAATGGGCGTGGTCTTCTCTGAAGCTGCATGACCCCTTAACACCTTTAAGAAAGTCTTGGGCGGTTGGAGCAGGCAGCGAGCGGCGGAGATGTGGCTTGCAGTTTGGTTCCATCTCCCTTGGGCAGACTGGCAGGACAGCAGCAGCTGAACCAGCAGCAGTCTCTCTGTTTTGTTCTATGTCGTGAGCGTGCCTTATTGATTTCACCTGTTAATAAACCTGATTTGACCCTAAAGTTCCATCCGCTATAAAGATCCACCTGCCTCTGCCTCCCGGGTGCTGGGATTACAGGCATGCGCCACTGCTGCCCAGCACAATAGGGAATTTTCTCACCTATCTTACAGAATCAGAATTGAGACAAGGAAGAAAGTAAAAGAAGATTAAACAGGTAACGGTCTTATCAAGGATATCCAATTATATCCAACCTGTTGGGGCAGCCAGTCAGTACTTTTTATTTTTAAACCCTACTTATATTATGAAATAGAAGGAATTTGGGCCGGTTTGACAGGTTTTTTTATTTTTTTTTATTTTACAACACCATTCAGTTCAACATAATACAATTTGACAGTTTTAATTCATGTGAGCACTCACTCATCCTATAAGCCAATTTGGTACTATGTAAACAATACAAAAATATAAGCATATGCAGAGCATGTAGAGTATGCATGCATACACATGAGATTTTTTAAAATAATTTATTTAAATTTATTTTATGTGCATTGGTGTGAAGGTGTCAGATGCCCTGGAACTGGAGTTACAGACAGTTGTGAACTGCCATATGAGTGCTGAGAATTGAACCCACATCCTCGGGAAGAGCAGCCAGTCCTCTTAACTGCTGAGCCATCTTTCCAGCCCTGATAGAGATATTTTTAATCACTTAAAAAAAATTTAGCCGGGAGGTGGTGGCCTTTAATCCCAGTACTCCGGAGGCAGAGGCAGGTGGATCTCTGAATTTGAGGTCAGTCTGGTCTACAGAGTGAGTGCCAGGACAGTCAGGGCTACACAGAGAAATGGTGTCTCAAAAAACCAAAAACCAAACAACAACAACAACAAAACCCTTTTGTTTAGATCTACTATTCCCCATGTCCTGCACACCTTGGGTCTCAGAATCCTGACTAGGGATGGAAAGCAATATAAGAAAGGACAGACCACAGACACACAGAGTGAAGCTTTGGTTCTGTGGGGTATTGAAGGCAGGAAGTGCAGACAGACTCAAGGGCAGAGGGAAAATCCATAATGTTCACTTTCCTGTTTGCTTGTGCTCAGCCCGATTGCTCTACTCTTGTATAATTCAGTATATCCCTCTTCACCTAAGGAATGGTGCTGCCCGCAGTAGGCTGCCTCTTCTCACACTGACTTACTTATTAAGGTGAGCCCTCACAGACATGCTAACAAATCAACCCAATGTGGACATCTCCTCATTGAAGCTCTCTTCCCAGGAAATCTTGAGTTGTGTTGACAGTAAAAGCTAACGGTCACACCAGATGAGGTAGAAAATTTTTTCTCTGGAATTTCCAAGGCAGTGCAGTCTCACAATAGCTGGGTTTGTGTTGTTGCTACTGTTGCTGTTGTTCTCTTATAGGCATTTGGTAGCCACAGTTTGTCGTGGAAGCTGGTAAACAGACCCAGTATACAAAGAGAAACTAGCGTAAGCTACCAGCACAAAGGATGAGCCGATTCTGCTGTTGCTTTACCCTAGAACTCCAACGAACTGTTGGAATTGCTGTGTGAGAGGCTCTCCAGATGTATAAACAATATAATCATTGTCTCAGTCAGTGTTCTATTGCTGGGAAGAGTCATCATGACTATGGCAACTCTTAGAAACAAAAGCATTTAATTGGGACCTGCCTATAGTTCAGAGGTTTAGTCCATTGTCACTGTGGCAGGAAGTATGGCGGCTTGTAGTCAGAAATGGTGCTGGAGAAGTAGATGAGAGCTTTACATCCAGATCCTCAGGAAACAGCAAGAGAGAGCCACTGGGCCTGGCTTGGGCTTCCAAAACCCCAAAACCCACCTCAGTGACACACTTCCTCCAACAAGGCCACACCCACTCCAACAAAGCCACACCTACTCCAACAAGATCACACCCACTCCAACAAGGCCACAGCTCCTTTTCCCTCTTGAGTAGCACCACTCTCTAATGACAAAGCATTCAAATACATGAGTCTACAGGGGCCATTCCTATCCAAACCACCACAAGCATGATGATCAAGATATGGCTTGAACGTGTGTAGAACATAATACCATGTCAGTGTCTTAGGAATTAAGTCTGGATCTCCTATACTATGAGGCTCACTCTTATGTCAACATGTATTTGCTTATACAGGAGTCAGTGGCCTTTAAGGACATGGCTGTGAACTTCACCTGGGGGAGTGGACTATGTCAGATCCAAACCAAAAGGAGCTTTATCAAGATCTTCTGTGGGAAACCTTGAGGAACCCGGTCTCCATAGTAAACAGATGATTATTGTCTTAACTAAAGAACAAGTGCTTCTGGCTCATCAGTGCCGCTGCATGGACTGAAATATGGTAAAGAAGCATTTGGGTAAATAAGTCGAGTGAATCACTTTATACAGTGGATTTAGCTAGAATCTAGTATTTTTTTCCTATGATAATATTTTGTAACATCATCATTCCTAATGATTTCTCTGGGTCTGTCTTTTAAAAAACCAAATGAGAACATGGAAACACTGAAAATGAATACCAACATCCCTGGTGAAAACTAGGTAATTCATACCCCCAAGAGACATTATTGGTCCTCTAAAATCTTAGTATGATAAGATACTTAAGAAAAAGTAAAAGACAAATATATATATAGCTTCAAAGTGATTTAATCCTGAGTAATTTTCTCCAAAACTGCATGCTTATTAAGACTCAGCAATCAGAACATCCCAAGTGTTCTAATATTGGAAGCAAATAGAACATCATGATGCCATAGTGATTCTTTCTTATGGTCTGTACACATAAACTTCATTTTATGCATGATATTATTGAAAATGCTATGTTAACTTATCTGCAAACTTTGGGTGTAAGGCATGTACAAAATAAAAGCAATATATATACTGGAACAATTACCAACATACCTAATGGATATCAAGTATTCCCAAAATCCAACATAATTTGTGTCAGTAATATTGTACATCAAGAATGTACACAATAGTTTGGGTGTTGGTGATGCACACCTTTAATCCCAGTACTCAGGAGGCAGAGGCAGGTGGATCTCTGTGAGTTTGAGGCCAGCCTGGTCAAAAAAAAAAAAAAATGGGTTGAAGAAGAGCCAGAACTGTTACACAGAGAAACACTGTCTTGAAAGAAAAAAAGAAAAAATGTGCACAATGTTGTTTATTTAAACGTGACATAGATATTTAATGTTTGCCAGACATGAAGATGATATAATGCAACTGTATATGAATACTATACTTTTTGTTTAGCTATGCTCAAACCCTTTTGCAGAGCATATAGTTTGAATACGTTAAAAATTTACAGGTCATGTTATCACTTATTATATAACAAATCATTAATAACCAAAATCTTAGTAATGCTTTTTTTTTCATTTTTCCTGCAGCCAATTGGAAGAGAAATCATGTGGATGTAAAGAAAGTCATCAGTGTGCAAAATCTCCAACTGCATCTCAAAGCAGTTGTAAATCTACACAGAAATATCCATAAGTGAAAATGGAGTGTATGAAGAAATATCTCTAAGTGTGTTCTCAAAGCTCTCCCAGGATACAAACCATGTGAAGACGAAGAATATGGAAAGAAACCATATAAGCATAAAGAGTTTGAGAATATCTCCAGTTCCCCTATGTCCTTTCTGAAGCATAAAGGGACTCATACTGGAGAGAATTCTTCTAAAATAATTACTGTGATGAGATACTTTTATATTTCAGATATGGTCAACATCATGAAAGAACCTTCATTAGAGAAAAAAAGGCCATGAGTATAAGCAATGTGACAAAGTTTTCATTTCATTCCTTTCAAAGGCATGAGGAATGTCACAGTCAGTAGAAATTCTATGTAAGTAAACTATGTGAGAACACCTTCATTCTTTCCACTATTCTAAAAAAACATGAAAGAATTTACACTGGTGAGAAGCCCTATGTATGTAAGGTATGTGAGAAAGCCTTCTTGCTTCTGAAGCAATTACAAAGACATGAAGTAATTCCTAGTGGCAAGAATCCTGGGCCAGACGTGGTGGCACACACGTTTAATCCCAGCACTCAGGAGGCAAAGGCAGCTGATCGCTGCTCCTCTATCAGTTGCAGGCTTCTCCTTCTCATAGCAGTTGCAGCTGTCGAGTCTCCTGTTCTGCCATACTTGTATCACAGGGCTGCTCCCTCTTTCCTGCCTCTCCATCACATATTCTTTCATCATAATAACATTGGTGTAAGCCCCTCAAGCCTCTTGAGTGCCCAGGCCTCTCCCCCAAGGATCCCTAACTGCCAGGTTTCACCCACAGAATACTCTGTCTGCTCTAACTGATGGACCCTGCACCTACCCTACCGAGTAAAAAGCCCAATCTCTTGAAATCCCACCAATCTCTACCCTGGAAAGCTCCACCCTGAAAAGTTCCATCCCCTTCTCAAGAATCTCCATATGAGCCCTGTATCCTGCCCAGTTTGCTGCATTTTCCCACCCTGTCTGAGGCAGCCACTCTCCTGGATCCCTTTCTCCCAATAAACCTCTTAGTGAGGTTTGGGTGATGATCTTCGCTGGAGTGGAGTGAGGCAGAGAAGTAACAATTTTTGAAGGAGCAGCAGCAGAACTGTTACATTTCTGTGGATAAACTCCCTTAGCAGAGCAGAGCAGAGCTGTAATGACCCTCTCAGAGAGGAGCAGAACTGCTACGCTCCTGTGGGGAAACCATCCCCAAAGGAACAGAGCTTTAGATAGCGCCTGGCTTCCCGTGCTAGGATATCCTCCCCGCTAGAGTTGTAACACCTACAGTTGAAAGCTGTGGTGTGTCATGCAGTGTACCCTTTGCCCAAACAGTAGTCATTACCATGAGTTGCTGGTCTAATTCAGGAACTCTGACTTCTGACACAACATCAATACTGGACCCTCACCAAGACTTCTCTCAGATATCCTGATGTTACCCGGAGTCATGAGGTCCTGTGGCTACGGTTCTGCAGGACTGGCCCCTTCACATGTTCCAGTAGCTCATAGATGGGGTAGATGTTGGGGTACATCAACTCAAAGCCCTGGATCTGGGTGGTAGCTGAGTTGGTCAACCTGGGTCTTTACCACCCCAACCCATAAGGGGTGAGGCCAGCTCTCCTACTCTGATGAGGGATTGGGCCAGCTCCCCCTTTGCCTGCAAGGGGTGGGGACAGATCTCCATCACCTACATCACTGAGGGATGGAGCCAGGCAATGGTGGCTGGCAAGGGACAGGGTAAGAGGACTTTTTCCATGTGGTTTGACAAGAAAAATATTTCACCCTGGAACTGTAGTTACAGACAGCTGTGAGCTGCCATGTGAGTGCTAGGAATTGAACGCAGGTCCTCTGATAGCTCAGTCAGTGCTATTAACTACTGAGCCATCTCTCCAGCCCCAAAATGTATTCTTTCTTTCTCTCTTTCTTTCTTTCTCTCTCTCTCTCTCCCTTCCTTCCTTCCTTCCTTCCTTCCTTCCTTCCTTCCTTCCTTCCTTCCTTCCTTCCTTCCTTCCTTCCTTCT